TGGACACAGGAAGAGAAACCCACCTCCCCTGCCCCCACGGCGCGGAACACGGGACTCTCCAGGAACGACCCGGCACGGAAAATCTCCCCGCTCCCAGGACTCTCCGGATCCGATTCGGCTGAAGAAATCCCGAAGCAGGAGCCCGCTGGCTCTGGCTAAGCCGTTGTTCTTTCGACAGACGGTCAAAATCAAGACCCCGGCTCTTAGTTCGGACCCCCCTGTGCTGAAGAGGCAGACGCCTCCCTCGCGTTCAGGTTGTTTTTGTGTCCTCCCTCGACAGCAGGTAGCCGCGAGCTCAGCCACCGCCGACCAGCCCGATCAGCCGGTCGATTGGGACCCCGATCGCCGATCGGACGCGGATCGATCGCTGGATCCTGGCCCCGGCTTCCATTCGCCCACTCTCGGTCCGGAGACCAGAGACGCCGTCGCTCTCCCGAGCGCCGATCGTGCGTGGTCTGACTACATAACAGATGTCATAAGGGGTGCTGCCCATCTGGACGCCGAAATTGCAGCGGGCAACCGCAGCGAGTACGGCGCTGCGAAGGGCACGTCGAAAGGGGGAGCGGAGGCCGACCCTGCCCCCCCTACACACCACAACTCCCCTTACGGTACATCATGTGGCGCGTCCTCGAGCCATGGTTCCGCCTCCTATGGCGCCCCCATGGCGTGCCGCTGGTTCTGCCGCCGCTGATTACGCAGGCTCGGCAATTGTACCTCATGGACATCAGAGCATACCAGCGCCACATCATGATGGACGATGACATCTGCATACAATTTTGATGGCTTCCGAATTTCTTCTGACTTTTGACGTGCCTCTCACATCTTGGTCGATATCAAAACCATACTTGTCACCATGGACAGGCCCAGCTGTATATGAAAAGGTACCGCAACCAGCCTACTCACCATTTCTTACAGCCGACGCCGAGAATTTGGTTGGAGCGATGGCATAAGTTTTGTGCGTTATCTCTGGGACGTTAGCTTCGCGATAGTAGAGCAGGTGACAACCTTATTATCGATTGCAGTCTTGACAAAACGGCCTAAAGAGCCACAAAGATGATTGTCAAGCATGTACTGTTGAAAATGCACAATTGCAAAAACATGTGAAAAAGCATAATTGCATAAATACACTTGATTCTTCATTACTGGTGCAAGACGTACAAGATTTTCTTGGAACTTGCGCATGCACTCTACTCCTCATATCTCAATGTTTTGCGTTTTGCTTTGGATTGGATCTGGCTCATTGCACACATCGTTGCATTCATGTCATGTGTTGCTTCGGGCACCGACCGTTTGGGTCGGTGTCATAAGAGCTCAGTCTCTCCATTCCACTTCTCTCCAGCCCACAGCACTGTCCTGGGTTCTATCTCGGCGGCAGGCGCTGTAAAACTTTGTTTGCGGGTTAGCGCCGCCGTTGGGTGCGAACCTTACGACAGAGTTTTGGCTGTCCCTTCTTTCCTTCCTGGGCTGAAGCAGTGGATTGCAGACAGGAGTTCAGTAGTGATTCACTCTCCTATCCCGATCCCCGCTTCGGTGCCTTTCGCCTTTGTGCGTGGGCATCGGGCGGGATCGGGGCGGGGGGTGTGTGTGAATCCCCCTACTTTCCTCCTATCTTGCTCATATCCATCGCCCCTTTCGGCTCGGATGCAGGTGCTCGTACACAGAGGGTGAAGAGGACAACTTCCATCATCCTCATCACGTCTACCTACGGACACTTTGGGGGTGGGTTCGGTCCTTCGGTCCCCCTCCCCCTCACACACCCTAAGTGCTGCAAGCACTGTTTGGGGAATTTCGTGGTTGGCCCATAGGAGTGCGGGGACGGCCGGTCCCTGCGCTTTGGTCGTGATTTCTTGCCATGTTGTATTTTTGTTGCATCGTCAGATTCACGGGGCTTCGGAGGATGGCGCCGCATCGACGAGGCATCCGAGATGCGGCTCGATGTAGAGCCCGATGTTCTCCGCGCTGAGGTCGCCGAAAGCACCGCCGACGTCGCCGATGCATCGCCGATGCAGCGCGATCCTCCGACCCCACTTACTCGGACCCCTAGGCCTCAAGCCCCACAGGTTAGGGCGGCAACGTCGGGGGGAGATGGGCCCAGGGGGGGCGTTTCGGTTTCGAGGTTTGGAGTCTTCCTTGCATCTTTGTCGGTTCTCAGCGGTCGTCCAGCCTCGGGATGCCCTCCTGGAAAGCGCACGGCACGGCAGGAAACTCGTGGAGCCGGCCGTGCGCTCGACTCGCCAGTGGCCCGAGGCCGCTCGACTCGCCATGCAGGGCACCCTCCAGGCCGCCCGGGAGCCTCCCGCGCGTCAGAAGCAAAGTCGGGCTCAGCCGAGGGGCGGTTTCGAGGTTGGAGCTTGTCTGGCGTTCTCGTCGGTTCGCGGCGGTTGTCCAGCCTCGGGATGCCCTCCGGCATCTGCGCCTCGCCGAGGGTGTTCCAGGAGACCCGGCTCGTTCCGCGAAGGGCCGCTGGAGAGCCAGCATGGCGAGAACACCAGATGACCCGGTTGGGAGGCACTGCGGGCCAATATTGATGGGGGATGGGCTCAGCGGAGGAGGAGGAGGAGGAGGAGGAGGAGGAGGAGGAGCAGGAGGAGGAGGAGGAGGAGGAGGAGGAGGAGGAGGAGGGGAGGAGGAGGAGGAGGAGGAGGAGGAGGATTAGTTCTGGCTCGAGGAGCACGCCTCCCTTGGCGCGCGAAGCGCGCGTTTTGTGGATGCCTTATATCCCGGAGTCGCCCTTGCTGGGGACGCCCTCGACCCCCAATCGCCCATCCATCGCCGATACACGTCTGGCAGCCCACCCCGCCCAGGAGCGAGCGGTTTCGTTATCGGGGGCTCGTGGCGGATCTGTCGGCGATGTAACGCATCGCCGATTCCAGGTTGATGTGTTCCCCAATGGGTCCATCTCCCCTGCCCTTTTCCTTACCGCCGCCGCCCCGCAAAGTCGCGGGGAGCGTCGGGGGCGGGCGGCGTCGGCGACGGCGGCGGGCCCAGGTTTCCGACGGTGTGAAGTTTTCAACCGCTGCGTTTGTCTTCGTTTCGGCCTCCGGGGCCGTCATCGTGCCGGGGGATCTCAAAAGTGGCCCGGTACGAGAAACTATCCCGGGGAAGCGGTCGGGACCTCTGGGGCCGCGCATGAAAGAACAGAAAAATACAGCAGGTGTTCGGGAAGGGCGGCGTCGGGGGTGCACGGGCGGCGGACGGCGGACAGCGGAGGACGGCGACGGACGACGGCCCCGGTCACCCGCGGGGGCGCGAAGACAACCGCGCTTCGCGCGTCGCTGTCTTGGGCCACGCGAAGGTCATTACGCGTCGCGCATCGCGTGCGCGACGACCCAGACGACGACGACGACGACGACGACGACGACCCAGACGACCCAGACGACCCAGACGCCCCAGACGTTCCAGACGACCCAGACGACGACGACCCAGACGACGACGACGACGACGACGACGATTTGACGACGACGACGACGACGACGACGACGACGACGACGACGACGACGACGGAGGCGGGCCGCCGCCGCCCGGCCCTGCAGGGTCGCCGGGGGCGCGGGACAGGGACGGCAGGGCCCCTCTCGGCCTGCCCGGCAGCCACGCCTCGGGCGCGGCCCGGCCGCCGCCAGTTTGTCCAGCGTCCCTGCCCGCGCCTGGTGCCGACGTGGGACGCGCCGTGCCGCCAGGAGACTGTTTTCTTTCAAAGGTCCGGCGATAACCCGGGTTATCGGGCTTGCCCCCCCCCTTCCCCCCCCACCCCAGGATAACCTAACCTTGCCAGTTGTGCAGGTCCGCGGGGGGGGGGGCGCGCGGGCATGTGCAGGGCTGCCCACAGCGCGAGGGTTAGGTTATCGGCCGGCCCCCCCCTCCTCCCCCCCCCTTCCCCAGGATAACCCGGGTTATCGCCGATTCAAAAAACACGGTCTCCAGTGGTGAGGCACGTCGCATAATTTGAGTCGTTGCTTAGGGTTCGATGCGGTTCCAAGCAGGGTCAAGCCCTCTGTTCGCCGGCGCGGCTCACGCAGCCTCAGCAGGTGCACACAACGATTCCAGTACGAGTGCACAAAGAATTGCAGTCTGGTGGCGCCGGCCTAGTGAAGTCTCTTGTCGTCCAGGCGCTGGGGAGGCATTAGCGGATGCGTTGAAGTAGTGGGATGCCAGTTTGCACATAGGGCCAGCCGTCAGGCCAGTGTTGCGTTCTTTGTATTTTCCTGATTTCGAGTGCGTTCGAATTGCTTTCGCGTGCCGCCCACGAGCTCTGAAGAAGTACGGTGGCATTCGATTGTGTCCGAAGCGTTTTAAATTCTGAGTATTGTTGCAGAGTGGCATCGGCTCGTTCTTGGACTGTTGCGACGAGGGACTTGTGTCGAATGGCCTGGAGTGAGTCCGAAGCTTGACTTGAGGACTCGAGAGCAGTCAGACGTCCTCGAAGGGTTCAGCTGGGAGGGAGGGCCAGCAAGGGTGTCCGCGGTTCGGTATGTTCGGCTGCGTCGCAGTCTGCTTCGCTCGGTCGGTCCGGCCTGGTCGGCTGCCGCATCCCTGCCGCGTTGCCGCGCCTTTCTGGGCCCGCCTGCGGCAGATGCGGGCTCTGGGCGGCCTTGGCTCCGCTGCTGGCCTGTCCGCATTGTGCGGCCTAGCCGCCGCCTCAGGACGGTGTCGGCCAGAGGGGTGCGCATGAAAGAAACGGGTCTGGAGGCTTTTTTTTGTTGCTGGCCCCTCGGGGCCCCCCACGGGCCCCAGGACCGTTACAGAGCAGCCCAGTACGAAGAACGAGTCTGGGGCGAAGGCCCCGAGGTCCAGGACCCGTTTCCCTCAGGACCCGTGCTGTTCATGCCAATCGTTCTGGCCCAGGACTTGCATGAACCGCTCCCAGAGCGTCTCGGAGCGTTCTCAGTTCGGTCTGGCCCGCTCCGAGAAGGCCGCGGCGCCCGACGCATCCTGCAGAGCCGCGGGCGATCTCGCAGATTCCCAGCCTATCCCGATCTGGCATCGCCGCTGCAGACGCCGAGGCGGACCTCCGGCTGGAGGGGGAGTTCCTCCAGAAGATGAGCGAGGTCGGGCGACGAAAGCTATACACATCCACTGCTCCCTGGCCAGGCGCATCCTGAGCCCAGGACAGGGGGCCACGTGCGAACCCTACCCCTCCCCCCCACGATTTCGGAGGGGGCAGGGGTAGGGTTCGCACGTGGCCCCCTACAGGAGCCGTGTATACGCCCACCTGGCTTGGCCAGGAGGGCGCGGCGTATACACACCGCTGCTGGGTCCAGGACGGGCCTGGCCAGGGAGCAGTTCACACCGGGGCTCGAGCAGAACGGTGTCTGGGCGCTTCCGTGGACTCTTCTCAAGACATATTACGTTTCTCGCAGCAGCGGCAGAACAAAGGCAGAACGATGGAGCACGAACACAAGACGGTGTTTGGGCGATTTCGTGGACCGCCTTCGAGAGATAGTGCATTTTTCACGGCAGCGGCACGAAGACAGAACGAGGGAGCACGAGCACAACACGAAAGCGAACCACACCGTTTGGCTCGAGCCCCTGGTGGACGTGTGCAGACTCCGTCGCCCCGCGAGGGCGGCATCGGCAGCCAGATAGAGGCCCTGGCCCTCGCCGACAGCGTGGCCGCGCTGAGGCGCCGAGGGCCCGCGCGCCGCGCGGTCTCGGAGGGGGTGCTCCTCCCTGCCCCCTCGGGGGGGGGGCGTCCTGGGCGGTGCGGTGACCACACCGCCTGGCTGTCGGTAGCGTTGGCTTGTAGTGAGTCGATGGAGTTTTCCACTGGTGGATGAGGGTGATGATGAAGATGAGGAAGAACATGATGATGATGATGATGATGATGATGATGATGATGATGATGATGATGATGATGATGATGATGATGCTGCTGATGCTGATGCTGATGCTGATGCTGATGCTGATGCTGATGCTGATGCTGATGCTGATGTTGAAGCTGATGCTGATGCTGATGCTGATGCTGATGATGCTGATGCTGATGCTGATGCTGATGCTGATGCTGATGCTGATGGTGAGGGTGAGGGTGAGGGTGATGCTGATGGTGATGGTGATGGTGATGGTGATGGTGATGGTGATGGTGGTGCTGATGGATACTGCTGATGGTGGTGATGATGGTGCTGGTGGTGGTGATGATGATGGTAGTGGTGATGATTGGGACGATGGTCAATAATATTCTTCACCCCCTCCCTACCCCTCGGGGGGGGGCGTCCCGGGCGGTGCGGTGACCACACCGCGCGGTGAGGCGGTGGGCCTTCTGGGGGGGGGGGGGGGTCGGACGGGTGGTCATGGTCGGCGGCGATCTTTAGGGGCGGAAGTTTCGGGTTCGAGGTTCGAGGTTGTCGGGCGTTTTCCTCGGTTCTCGGCGGTGTTCCAGCCTCGGGGTGCTCGCCGGCAGCTGCGCCTCGCCGAGGGCGTTCCGTGGGTGCCCGGCCCATCCCGACGGTCGCCGGAGGCCCGAGCTATCGGACCCGAAGACCACACCCGGAGTGAGGGAGAGAGGGCCTCCTCCGGAGGCGGCGAGGCTTCTCCAGAGGGCCTCCGGCCTTCGGCGAGGTTCGGGGGTGGACAGACCTCCTACCCTGGCACGTCGATAGGACAAGGGCTCCCTCGAGGGCGCGAAGTTATTCGCGCTTCGCGGTCCTCGTTCCTTCTCCCCCTCCTCCTCGTCCTCCTATTCTCCCTTTGGGAGGGCGGCGCGAGAGCGCGAAGTTATTCGCGCTTCGCGCAGCGCGAAGCGCGAAGTTGGGAGCCCTAGATAGGAACTGGCCGTTTTCGGTTCGCGAGAGGGCGTCCCGGCCCCCAGCCGTCATTTCTGCGGGTCCAGGTCCGTCGGTTTCGGTCCCAGGCCGTTCTCACTAAAGGGAGGTTTTCAGAGCCCCGAATCATCAGGGGTAACTCGGGTCAGGGATAACTCGGGTTCGTTTTTCGGGAATCCAAACCCGAGTTACCCCGGACCCGAGTTACCCCGGATAACTCGGGCGTCCAGAGCCCCGAATCATCAGGGGTAACTCGGGTCAGGGATATCTCGGGTTCCTTTCTCGGGAATCCAAACCCGAGTTACCCCGGACCCGAGTTACCCCGGATAACTCGGGCGCCCAAGGTTTAACTACTACAGGGAGGTTTGTCCACCGCCGAGAGGTGTTCTGCGTCTCCAGGGAAGGCGCAGAAGGCTCCTCCTGCCCAGGGGGGTGGGGGGCCTCAAGGCGGCGCGGTGACCACACCGCGTGGGTGAGGCGGCGGGCAGTCTGGGGGGGATCGGACGGGCGGTACTGTCAAGTCGGGCATGTTCCTCCCTCTACAGGAGGAATGCTCCAGGACAGTGAGAATTGTCAGAGGACGGTTTCTCGTGTTCTCTTTTGGCTACGTTCGGCGACGTTGTGGCTATGTTTTATTAACCTTCCAAAATCCGCCTGCAGGAGGACATGCCCGACCTAACGCTGATGGTCGGCTGCGAGCGAGGGGTGGAAGTGAGACGGAGAAGGCCATCCCAGAAGGCGGCGAGGCTTGTCACAGGGCCTCCGGCCTTCTGAGAGGTGTTCTGTGTCTTCGGGGAAGACTCGGAGAGCTGCTCAGAAGGCTGGGGGACTTCCGAGCCTTCTGAGAAGGCCCGCTCCTCTTCACTTCCGCCCATGGCTCGCCGCCGAAATGGTGGGTGACCTAACTGGGGGGTGAGGGTTGAGAAAAGGGCCCTACAGGGGCCCTACAGGCGGCCCGGATGAGTAGGTCGACCCTGCCAGCTCAAGGGTACCCTTGTGTCCTGTGCCTCGCGACACGTGCCGTCTTACACTCCAATGGCGATGTGGCCCTCGGAAGGGTCTTGTGTCATCTCGCGTGTCCTGTCCAATCAAGGCCGACTCTACCCCCCATTGAGGCACCCCCCCCATTACACCCGCCCGAGGGCTGTTCTGCCTCGGGATGCGTCCCAGCAGCCGTGTCTCGCCGAGAGCGTTCCGCGGGTGCCGGGGTCGTCCCGGACGGCCGCCTGAGGATCCGAGTCATGGCCCGAGCTTCCAGGGTTAAGTCAGGCCTGTCCCTCTACAGGAGGAATATTCAAAAATAGTAAACAAATAGTGTGGGGACTATTTTGCTTGCTATTTCCAAGCATTTTGGGAGTATTTTTGAGTATTTTTCATTTTTCGCCCACAGTCCCCCTGGTAGGGGGACACGCCCGACCTAAGTCCAGGGTGACAGCACGACTTTGGGACTTTCCGGTCGTCCTCCGAGGACGTCTCGGGCATTGGGGCTTCCCAAACGCCGTGCGGCGACGGAGCGTGCGGTGAGTCAGTATCGTTCAACCGATCCCTATCCCCGCCGGGCCGTGGTATCTCAGCCCTACCATGCCACCTCCCCAGTATATCCCGCGAAACCCGAAGGGAACAGGCTATCTCCCCATCAGGGGGGTAAATCGGCCACTGGGACCAAGGCCGCGCCAGTGGTGATAGGCAAAGGCGAAACGATGCACAGGTGATTCTTGGGCTTGCGCCGCACCGCCGACCCCTTTGGGGGCTCCTGGTAGGTCTCTCGGGGGCCTCCTGGCAGCCTTTTGGGGGCTGTTTTGGAGCCTCTTGAGGCCTCTCTTGGGGCCTCTGGTGGGACTCTTGGGGTGGGGGCCTCTTGGGGCCTCCTGGAGGCGACTTGGGGCCGAGGGCTCGAAATTTCCGTTCGGGTCCCCCGCCTGGGCCTCCTCCTGGAACCGTCTTAGAGGCCTTTTGGGCCGTCTTGGAGCCTTCTTGGGGGCTTTCTGGGCCGTCTTGGGGCGATCTTGGAGGCCTCTTGCGCCGTCTTGGACGATGTGAAAGCCCAAGAGGCGAATGTTCTAAAATCATACGTTTCCCTAAGGGAATTTGCTTCTGGGGGCCCTCTTGGGGCGCTTCCTGGGGGCCTCTTGGGGCGTCTCGGGGGCCTCGTGGGCCGTCTGGGGGCCAACTTGGGCGTCTTGGAACGATCCATCGGCGACTTGGGGCCCTCTTGGACCATCTTGTGGGCCTCTTGGGGCTCTCATGGCCCGTCGTGAGGCCCGTGGCGCGTTCAGCCGGGGTCGGCCAGACCCCACCCCCCCTCCAAACCGACCGGACCGGGCCCCGGGGGGAGGGGTTTGGGGAGGGGGAAGCATCTCACACGCCGATGACCCCAAAGGGTCGGCGGATTTTTTGCGGGTTCAGGGGTCCCCGCACGGTCCGCTGCCGCACCGTCTCGAGGCTCGGTGCGGCTCGATGTGGAGCCCGATTCTCTCCACGCCGACGGCGCCGATGCATCGCCGACGTCGCCGATGCATCGCCGGTGTATCGGTGATGCGGCGCGATCCTCCGACCCCATCTGCTCGTCATTGGTTCCGTTCAGAACGAAGAGGGGACGAGGTTTGAGGTTGTGGGTTCCAGAAAGTTTTTCTCCATTTTCGGCCCTTGAGGGCCCTGGGGTTTTCGGGCCCCCGGAGCGTCAAAGAACACTGATCAGAGGGTGAAAAGTCGCACCAAATGAACCCAGGGAGAGGTCCTGGGATAGCTTTTGGGCGGATTTGCCCTCACCCCCCCTTCTTGATCGATTTTCTAAGGGCTAATCCAGTTCACCACCGCAGTGGCCCGAATATGGAACAATGTGCGCTATCGGGACGCCGCGATCGCTCAAGGTTGAACGATCCGCGCGGTGACAGAGACAATCCGCCGAAGTCGTCACGGCACGAACCCGCCGTCTGCGCTTTTAGAGGGCGTGTGCTGGTGCCCTCCGGGGATGGATCGGGGAAGGCGTGCGTTGTCTTCTTCCCAGTCGGATTCTGCCCAGGTGTTCTGGCCTATTCAGTGTCATGCGGACCCGGGGCCGAAGACGGTGGGCGAGCATCAGGGGTCGGAGGTTGGGGGTTTGAGGTCGAAGTGGAACGGGGAGCCCCCCACCGAGAAATCGGTTTCGGTTTCGGGTTCGTGTCGCGCGTGCGGGCGGGGCGAAGCTGCGTGGACGGGCGAGAGGAATGACACCTCTGTTGCCAGGGCGGGGCAAGGCAGTTGTCCGAACCTTCCCCGGTGGGCGGGCGGTGGCCAGGTTGTCCCGCCACAGTGTCCCGTCGGGGTCCCGTTGGTGTCCCGTCACTGTCCCGTCACTGTCCCGTCGTTGGCCCGTCGCTGTCCCGTCGGTGTCCCGATTGATGTCCCGTTGGTGTTCCGTCGGTGTCACATGGGTGTCCCGTTGCTGTCCCGTTGGTGTTCCGTCGGTGTCACATGGGTGTCCCGTCGGTGTCCTGTCGGTGTCCTGTCGGTGTCCCGTCGGTGTCCCGTCGGTGTCCCGATTGGTGTCCCGTCGGTGTCCCGATTGGTGTCCCGATTGGTGTCCTGATGCTGTCTTGGTGGTGTTTCGATGGTGTCTCGATGGTGTCCTGGTGGTGTCCCAATAATTAGGTGCCCCGATAGTGAGACTGATAGTGAGATTGATAATGAGATTGATAGCGGGATCGGTAGTGAAATGAGCTGAGGTCGATAGTGAGCTCTATTGAGTAAGATCGATAGTGATATTGATCGATAGTGAGGGCGATCGAGTGGGGCCGTTAGTAAGATCGAAAGTGAGATTGATAGAGAGATCACATCGCGACGCAGCATCGTCATCACGCGTCGTCGCCAACTCGAGGGCACATCA